CTCTAGCTTAATGTTCACGTTCTATTATTCCTGTTTGGAAGTTTTATTTCTGGTTCTATCATATTTCATCAGTATAATATTCTGCTTATTTCAAATATCTTCAGTCTTTATCATGTCTCATTCTATTTTAATTACTTCACCACAAATTCTCATAATAATTTAATTACTATGTTTAACTTCTGTGTAGTAATAAGATAAACTAACGTTTAAAAGTTTCCCATCAACGATTCTATGTGGAAATGTAAAGGTAATCTAAAATGTTTTCATCCATTATACTGTTACGAGAAAATTTCAAGTTCTAAATTTTCCAGTAATATCAAGGCATTTCATCATATATATTATACCACTGTGTATGATATACACTGTGTCGATTCAGTGTAGAATTTCTTTTGAAACAACTGGGCATAACATTATGTTTAGTGGTGTTACAATGTGACATTTGTTAACGAATAATGAGTTCAAGCACATTTGCGTATAAATTAAGGTTTTTGTTAATAATCGATTTTGTGTTTGGATAAACAACTAATTGACTGAATACAAACTCAGCCACTTGTAGACAAAATCAGCTCAATCATTTTAAGAAATTTTTTATGTCATCCTATTATTATTACATTATAACTAATTATCTAACAGTTAGTTCCCTACATTTTTTTCTAAATATCTGAATGCCATTTTTATGCAAAAAATTTCTATTCACATTTTTCATTTAATATTTTTGATAATCCGATTTATTCAACTTTCATTAGTCAAAGTGTTTGCCATTTTCAAATACAGAATTTTTTTATATCTGCACTCTGAGTGGGGACTCATTCAGTGTGCATCTTATTTAACGTTTACTTAACATTTTCGGTTATAATTGTGCAAACATTATGCATGTTTGTATACATGGCAATTCCTTGGCAGTTTGATTGACTATCACTTTGGAATCAGTCTACCAACCAGATATAGCTTTTGTATATTCCCCTCACCTTTTTTTTCAACACTATCTGATGAAACTGTGAGCAGTTCTATTTGCATTAAAATATTTTGGACATATAAACGTGTAGCCTCAAAGTCGGACTAACCGTTTTATAGAATGGAGTTGACTTTGTGAGCGAAATCGAAGGTTTTAGGTTCGATTACCTGTAAGGGAATCATGGATACTCATTGCTCAGGAGTCCAAAACTTCGATCAAATGGGCTCTCAGTGCTTCCAGGTTTTCAACAGCAGTCCCATAATTTATAATCTATGCAACAACTGTTACATCACTATGATAAATACACACTCCTAAAACCAAATACTATTCTCTTTTTTATGTAAAGCGGGTAACATTTAGAAACAGTTCATGTCCCAAAGATTTACATCTGTTAAAACATTTCCAGGGAATACAAATTACTTCAATGCTAACATGTCCTGAAAATATTTATCAATGAATGGTTCAATAATCAGATTTATAAATGTTATTTCTAGTTAACATCAGAGTTTGATAACTAGAATATCTAAATTTACATTCTGTACATCAACTGGCAAGCAAGTTTGACTGGCTCAGTTCTTCAAATTATAATTTGCAAGTTATGTTTTGGATATGTAGCATCTAATCCTATATCAAGCCCTCATGGGTTATTCTAGGCCCCGGACAGACTGTTATATTCATTCTTTCCAAGTCACATTTTGACCTTTAATTATTCGCTTATTAAATTTATCTGTTTCGATATGAGAGTATGTGCTTAAATTACTCACCCTATTCCTAACGTGTCTGTAACTTATTTTTGTTTGACTGTAAACATTGAACCTTCTCCAAAATGATTTGGCTTACTCTCCTTATCCGCTTTTTATTCTGAATATCTGTTTGGATAAACGAATGCTTGAAATAAGTCCCTTCAATGCAACCAGTATTTGACTTGTTATTACCGCCTTCACACAAACGGAGTTTGCCTAGATAATTACGTAGTTAAATGGAATATTTATGGACATAGCATTTTCGTACGACCAAACGTAGGCCAACAAATATAAGCTTGATTCATTTTATAATGAAAACATCTAATATCAGTCAGATAGTGATAGAAATCGATTCCTGAAACCAAATAAAGTGGATTATAAATGACCATTCAGCTCTCAAATATCTAGTCCATTCAAGGAATAGACAATCGGCCAACCATCTATCTTATTTCACAGTCTTATGACCTAAAATTAAATTGGTTTTAGTAATGAAACAATTAAAATAACAAATTCTTCAAAAAACCAATTTTCGTTTGTTTGACAGAAAATACTTTTAGCTAAAAAGTTACATTATCAAATGTGTGTAAACAAGTGTATTTGAGAAAACGACTGAGATAAAACAGCATTTGAACCAATATTCTTCTCTTCATCATTCATCCATTTAGCATTTTAGCTGATGTCAGTTAGTGATGAAAACCAAAAATCTAATTTTTAATACTAACTGTCAACTGTGAATCCTAATTCATCACTCTGGTTTATAACCCTCATTTAGTCCTAATTATTAGGTGGACATGCTCAAGGTCACATTAGCGTCTCTCAAAGGTCGTCCATGAACCAGTTTTTCCATTGGATAGACTATATTCATTTAATGATATATGATGTACAGAATTGATTGTAGTTACTTTACCGAATTCCATCTTCTACTAAGTACACTATTTCACTCATAATTATCTGCAATAAAGTTACGTTAGACATTAGTATCAAACTCAAATCTAATAATTTCCAACACATTCATGTATATATGCACTAATGAAGAAAAGTAGGCTTTTCAGAATGAAGGTTAGTGGTCTATTTATAAAATACTTAGTTGTCAACAAACTTAGACACAGCATTGGTTAGTATAGAGTCACAAACATATAAATATAGATGATGTTTAAGAAATATGGTTTCTTGACCAGGTCTTACCAGGTTTTGTTAATAACAAGAATCAATAAAAACGGTAGACGTATGAAAACTAAATAAATTTAATCCGGTCGATATATTTGATGAAAAACATATCTAAATGTCCAGGAAAAACTATTACGTACATTCTACATTATCTATATGTCAAATGCTTCATGATTACCAACTACTTCAAGGTACCATTATTCAAAAAAACGTTATTAGAAATACTATGTACTTCTGAAACGATAAACATTCATCCTTTTGATATTTAACTTTACTAGAAGAAACTATAGCCACATCGTTTTCATCGTATTATCTATAGTTCTATTTAAGCCAGCCAGTTTTTATTCATTTTGTATTGGTTGTTTGAATCTTCTCATTGATTTTTAAGACTGCAATTGATCAATCTCTTATTTGTATATGTACATCCTGCACGAACTACCTCGATAATGACTTAAGCTAGTAGCTATTAGGACTTAATAGCTAACTGGACATCGTGATAGCGTTTCAAGCGAACGGTACTTGGTTCGAGTCCTAGAATGAACATTAACTCTGAGATGCAAGTACATTTAGTTGACTTGTCCCAAATAGGATGAAATGCGCATCATACTATTTTCATAATGTTGAATAATTTTCAAAACATCCGTTTAGAATTGTGTTCCCTATTTAATAACTTGTACATACTTTGTTTTTATATTTATTTCTATTATATTTATCAATGATAGTATATTAATCACAACCAATTACAAAATGTTTTCTACATTATTTTACCAGATTATTACTTGCTTATTCTTGCCTACAAAAAGCTCGTGAATTAAGGCAATATCGAGGCACACGCACGGTATGCACATATGCCAATAACAGACTGATCAATTGCAGTCTTAAACCTCAATGGGAAGATACAACCCAAACAATACCAAGTGAATTACTTTCTTAAGTTTATATTATGTAATTTATTGTATAAGAGAAGTAAATGAATATAAGTTGCATTTATTTTATTTAGTTAATTCAACTTATAGTACATCAATGAAATATGTTTCAAGTAATCTACGTCTATTAGAATTGCCATTGTCGCATTAAACATAAATTAGTGTTAAGAAGAAGTCAGCTGTTTCTTCTTCTTTTGCAACAGTGCATAGAGTGCACTTTTTACATTATTTATAAGTAATTGTATTATTGTGATTTATTTTATTTTAACTTGAATTTTTATACATAAAAAATTATTACTTATAAGAGGCTTTTTATAATGGAAATTAAAATGAAATTAATGTTTCTAATTTATCTGATACATGTAACAACAGCTCAAGGGCAAACATTTAGGAACGAAAACACCGGCGATGATGTAAGAAAAAGCAGGGAAACAGAAAGCGAACGAAGTACAAGTGAAACGGGATCGGAATTCGAACGTCGCAAGTCTGGCCAAACAGGTTTGGAGACAATGACGATGACTGGAACTTCTAGATCTCAATATAAACACAGAAAACAAGGACAGGTCAAAGCTGTTGGAAAATTCCGTTCACGTGGAATGGGTAGATATGGTTTAGTGTCATCAGAATCTACATATTATGTAATTGAAGGCAAGTTCGATAGATATGGTCGAAAGAGACCTACTAAGTCGAACTTCAAAACTCGAGGAAAAGAAAAAAAATATTCTAAAAAAATTGTTGATAATCAATTCGATATTAAAGGTGGTTTAATTGAAGAACGTAAATATAAACGAACTGGTGATTATCAAGCGAATGGTACTCATGTTTATATTGATCTTCAATCTGATCGCCAGAAATCTTCGTCTTCAAGAGTAAAGCAGAAAGAAGACAGAAGTAGAGATGAGAAAACAGAGAAGAAAATGTCGGTTAACAGAACCACATTAGATTCTTTCAATGGTCCTGGAAAATAAAACATTTCAACAATTGTGCGAATATGATTTATATTTGACTATAATAAAAGTAATATCGATTTTCATGTTAATAATCTTTTAAAATGATAATTTGTTGATTCATTTTGATCTTCACACACATTATTGATAAATAATTAGATCTGCTATTTATATATTGCAAGCAATACATCGATTTTTAAAATAACGAAATGATTAATTCCTAAAAGTCTCTCATGACTAAGACAAATCAAACTAAAGTTAAAGAGATGAATGAGTTGTTCAGTGCCTCATAATTTCTGGTAATTGTGTAATTCACATCGATTCGTGATCTCTATAATAAATCGTTTTTATTGAACCTGAGCATTTGTATTTGTACTGAACCAATTCACTCCGATTGTTCTTAGTGTAATCCTGTTTTCGCATAACTGATGTAGCATTTTGTTTATGAGCTAGAACCACAAAAGTTTATCTACCTGTGAGTTTCGTTATGTTTTTCTAATAATTTGTAATTAGTTTAATTTAGTTCAGAAATACCACTGTGGTTGCGAAAAGCAAGTTAAACTGATATTAAATAGTAAATGTAAGAACACAATATGAACATTAGTACTGTTTTAATCACTACCAAATAATACGTGTAATTGTAAACTTCTTTTATACATTCGATTACTTTACAATTGATTAGTCATTGAACAGTGACCAATATCATATTTATCGGGTCCTTTTTAGTATTGACCTACTCAGGTTATTGTTCCCTACATTCAAAGTCAGTCTTATCACTTAAACAACATGCGAAAAACCATACATGTCAACAAACTTCAGTGAATCATCAAGTCCCCAGTACTACTTCACTCTGATGATGTCAAAATGTGGCGAGAAGTAGTGAATAATTAGGACTTACGTGCATTCATGGCCGACCTCGGTGTCTTAATAATTTAGTCTAGGTTGTAGTTAACCCCTACCAATATAGGTAGATGTATATTTCAGTGATTAATATAGGCACTTCAAACGCACACATTTATATTACTTATTTCTAGATACAGGGTGTAATCAACCATGTGAATGTCGAATATATCACTTTGCTTCTATCGGTTATCTTAAGTTCAAATGTGTGTTTAATTCGAAACCCTTCAGTGAATTATTTTCTATCATCTCTTTGTTTGCCTATCTGCCCGTCTGTTTGCCAATTAGCCTTACTGTATCGACCTTCTGGCCTAATATTTGATCCACTCTGATTTGTTTACCCATATTTCCGTATCCCACAATCATCGACTTCTAATTTTATCAACTTTGGGATCAAAGTGTCTAAAAACATTAGGACAATAACATTGAAAAATTCCGTATATCTGTTACAATCTTTTAAGATATTTAGCCTAATTCTCAATTAATTTCATTACACTTCGATTCCTGACTATTACAATTCGAATAAAATTGTTAGACGTCCTAAAAATAGTATAGCAGAAGAAATACTCTGAATGGATGGTATTGTCTGTTTGTTTACATTTAGTTCGATTAAGTCATTTTGTTAATTTATTAACAAACTGAGTCCTCCGTACAACTTATCTATATCATTGTATCTTTATTATTGTTGAGAATGTATAAGCATGTATGCTTGAGCATTGATTACTGCCTACGCATTTATTCACGCTGCTAGCCTTACTATTAACCTTTTAATTGATTCGATGATTCATTCATTTCACTATGTATATATATGCCCATGTTATTCATGTTCATTGCTCTCTCTCTCTCTCGTTTATCTGTAATCGCTTACTCGTACTCGTATTCGCTGATTCACTCGCTCATTCGCTTGCCTGCTTGCTTTTCGGCACAACTCTTCCATGCTTGCTTAACGTACCTGTAATTTTGGATATCTGTGTGTGGTCCCATAATACACGTAATCAACACTTCGTATTCGCCTTCTGATTAATATACCGTTGGGGCGTTATCTAGTGACGGTTATCAAGACGAACTGTATACGAAGTTTAAGGATTATATTGAATACAGACCACCACGGTATGCTGAATTTACTCACCACCACATAATTAGTATCGAGTTTTTACTTATCTCTAAAACATATATTAGTATAGAGCTCTGATTAAGAGTTAAGTGAAGAGAAATGTTTCTCCATTTAATGTCTCGATGGGAATAATTAATGAATTGAAAACTTCACACTGTTATCCTATGAATAACTCAAATCTATCCTTCGTATTTAGTTTCGTCATGTTCATCATTATTTGTATTGCAGCGTGTTGGGCTATTCAGGAAAATATCCCAAAATTATCCTGTTAAGCCTAATGCTATCCTTGGACATGAAATTGTATCATCTTATTGGTCAATATTTATTTAACGTGTCATTTTCCTACTGGCCAATATTGTACAATCTTATTTTCTGTTTTATGGTACGTTGTGGTCTGCTTGATTGATATATAAACGGAGTATGTTTGAAACATAATGATTCATAACTCAGAGGCTGTGACTTTCGTTCTGGACTCAACCGGCTGGGCTAGACAGGGAAGTGGGACCAATCAGAACCCTAGGCTGTTCTACGTGTTTGCGCGTCTTTGGTCTGATCAATAATTCGCTACCCCTTAATCCGCAGCATTTTCACGTTATAACATAGCGTCAGTTAAATATCGTTAAACCTTAGAAGAATCGTCCATCAAGCTATACCGTTTCTACGTTAGAGGAGTGATTCTCTGAACGTTGAAATTTCTACTGAATTTCATCAAAGTAAAGGGTAACTAACACAAACACCACTAAGCAAGCCCATTTAGCAGTCGGTCACTTTTGTTCAGTCCTACTCTATTTGTATCTGAATGCAACGCTTACTTGTCAATATTTTGTCTGTTCTCAAATCGGGTTATGGAAGCAGGGTAGTCTCGCCACTCCATTAGAGTAAGTCAGACCATGTGGTCTTTGCATGGTATGACTTTGACGTAGGATAAAAAAAAGTTAAATAGCCCAATTATTCAACTTCAACCCAGATAGACTAATCCCTAACAGACATCTAAGTAGCAAAGTATCAGCTCATTTCACCCAATTGTCACAGCCTTTGACAAATAAAAAGCTTTCAGGGTAAGATTATAGTTTGAGGACGAGCTTAGAACAACCTCAACGAATCTTCAGCCAGTTGGTAGACAATCAGTAAAACGGCTTTAGTGGATGGATAGCATACGGAAAAGAAAGTGGTAATATTCAAACTTTGTACAACTTTCACATATTTGACAAGTACATTTAATTCTTATACAGACTACTCTGCATCTAAATGGAATGAAAAACGACATGTAAATTCGATTTTCCACATAAAGGTTATTCATATTCATGAAATCTTATACGAACTCGAGTAGATTTTAAGTAACACATTGATCTGACTCAAATTCGATAGTATAATGATGTTAACAGAAAATACATGCCACTAACACTCGTACATAATCAATTAAATTTGCGTTAATAGCTAATGGAATAAAATAAGAACGAATGGAGTGAAGAAATCTCTTATCAATAAGTTTTTCATCATGGCTCCATACTAATTGAATATATACAATTTTCAACAATGAAACAACACTCATCGAATGGTTACATTACGTAATAACCATGTAATACCACACTGATCACAAAACAATATTGAGTAAGTGGAAGAGGGTTATAATAATCAAAGTAATTGTTCGGAAAATCAAACATTTGCTACATTGCATAGCATATAAACAGAACTAACAAAATATTTTGATCAAAGGCCAGTAATATAGTAGTTATGTAAGAATCAAGAGACGAATGTTGAGAATATGTAAAAATACAAATGTGGAAGAAACCATAAAATTATCAGAAGGGGATTTTGTGGTTATTATAGTAATTTAATAGTTTAATTCATGAGTCAAGTGAAGCTAGATCACCATGGGAAACCTGGAAGCACTGGACGGCCGTTTCGTCCCACTGTGGAACTCATCAATGCGCATCCACAATCCTACCTCGTGAGATTCGAATTCAGGACCCATCGGTCTCGCTCGCGAGCGCTTAATCTCTAGACCACTGAACCGGCATCCAACAGTGTTAATGTCTAGCTTCAACCAATCTACGAAATTGAGCCACTGTCCCACAGTAGTACGAAACGGCCGTCCAGTGCTTCCAGATTTTCTATGGTGGTCTAGCTTCGATTGACTCATTATCTCAACTATTAAATCATAAAATCGTTTAAGTACTTTTGAGGGAAAGGATTTGATGAAAGTTCATTTAAAAGCTCACTCTGATACCGATAACCAAGGCCGCAAGAGTGGTTGTACCAACTTCTTTTGGAAGCAAACGTTATTTCTGCAAACATGTATTACGATAGCTTCAGTAATATGCAACGAACAAATCGATAAAACATGTGGTAAATTTGATTAGTAATATTTCATCTTTGTAAATCATACATTAATATATTTGTGTAGAGCCGTGATGAAAAACTAATTGGAAGGAAATTTCTTCTCTCTATTCGTTCTTCTTATTCAATGTCAAAATGAGAACTTTCACCTTACTGGAGTGAAATAAGTCAAATGCGAGAATATATTTTGGATACATACATTACATACACTGGTGGCCCTAAGCAGACAATAAGAGAAACAATACGGAGAAGCTGACCGAAGAACGCAAGTGTGCCAACTCGCCTGTACTATTCATTACAAACATTAATGTTGCTCAAAATGGCTAATGAGTAGTGTGACAGGAAGACATTGGATAAGACAGTGAGTGATAGACAGACAGACATTTAAGCAAAAACAAGTTTCACAAGTATGGAAATACAAGGACTTAAAAATAAGACGTGTATGCTTGCTGAAAATCACAGTTTCCTATGAAACGTTAGTGTTGCTACGATAGTAAAATTACTTACTTACTTACGCCTGTTACTCCCAATGGAGCATAGGCCGCTGACCAGCATTCTCCAACTCACTCTGTCCTGGGCCTTCTTTTCTAGTTCCATCCAATTCTTGCTCATTTTTCTCATGTCTATCTCCATTTCTCGGCGTAATGTGTTCTTTGGTCTTCCTCTT